CATCAGGCACAAGCTTGAACACATGCACCAGCACGTTCAGGAACGTCCCAATGCGTCCCGGCCATTATTAGACTAATGAATGGACTCCCAACTTCAAATAATACTGACCTTGCTAATGTTGATCTTGCCTAGCGCACATCCTGTGCAACGTAACCTGTACGCCTCTAAGTTTTTTTTTGCACTCTATGATCTGTATAACCTTACTATAATCGGCCTGTACTGCCCGTAAACAAATCTTTTCACCGTCCTTAGGTATACGTGACAATAAATAATTCTGCTCTTGATATGATTTGATTTATCTTCATGAACCCCATGGATTTCTATTTTGGTGATTCTCCTTGATGTCACACGACTTTGTGAAATTGCACCCCATTTCAATTCATGAAATTTCTACATGGCTGACTCTTGACAGTTTTTTTTTTGATGGATTGTGCAGACAATTCAGTGAATCTTTCACAAGTCTGATGAACATCTCACAACTCCGAGCTTAAAGTTTCTCCTTTCTAATAACCTGCAGAACTCTAACCAAACTCTTGTTTTGGAAACTTTACAAAAGAAACCTTTATGCCGACGTGATCAGTTCCCAGAACTGCCCTCCACTTCTTTTCAATAGAGAAATTAAACTTGTTTCTGAATATATCCCTGATTTTTTTTTTTAACTAAGTTTCAAATAATTTGCTCAATCCTAGACCCTTCGGAACTGCAAATAAATGTAACCAGCACCCATCTGTCTCCATTTTGGAACCCAAATTGCAAAAATAAAATTAGTACATGTAAATTGAGTAATTTTCATCACGTTAGCACATGGATTGAATCAAATTCGTTGAAGACTGGAATCTGTATCACTGGCGACCTCGGAGGCTGGGCTGGGTCATGAATTTGGCTGTCTCACTGAAGGTGGATGTAAATACTGCTACCTAGTCTTTTGCACTGTTACGCTGGGCTGTTCAATTTTTGAGTATGGGGTTACTTGTGGAGCCATCTTCACTGAGTTGTTTAATTTTCCACCACCATTCACAATAGGATATACTGGCACTGGAGGGGGTGCAAAGGAGGTTCACTAGGTTGATCCAGAGTTGAGGGGGTTGGCTTATGAGGAGAGACTGAGTAGATTGGGATTATATTCATTGGAATTCAGAAGATTGAGGGGGGATCTTATAGAAACATATAAAATTATGAAGGGAATAGATAAGATAGAAGTAGAGAGGATGTTTCCACTGGCAGGTGAAGCTAGGACAAGAGGGCATAGCCTCAAGATTAGAGGGAGCAGATTTAGGACTGAACTGAGAAGGAATTTCTTCACCCAGAGGGTTGTTAATCTGTGGAATTCCTTGCCCAGTGAAGTAGTTGACGCTACTTCAGTGAATGCTTTTAAAAAAAAAAATGTAGATTTTTTTTTGAACAATAAAGGAATTAAGGGATACGGTGAGAACGTGGGTAAGTGGATCTGAGTCCACGAAAGGATCAGCCATGATCTTATTGAATGGCGGAGCAGGCTCGAAGGGCCAGACGGCCTACTCCTTCTCCTAGTTCTTATGTTCTTATGTGGCAAGACTGCGGAACTTAGTCCTGGTGCAGTAGTTGAAAATGTGAAATCATTTGACCCTGTCAGTCAGTAGCTGCTTCCACAGTTTGGCACACAGATGATCCTGTATTTGGCTACACCAGATTCACATCTCATTTTAAAGTATACCTTACGCTGCTCCAGCACACTCTCCTTTGAACCAATATTGATCTCCTGGTTGGATAGTCACAATATAGTGGAGGGTATGCTGGATCAAGGGTTCACAGGTTGTGGTTGAATGCAGAACTAAAAATCGAAATTGCTGGAAAAACTCAGCTGTTTTATTTTCATTATTCATTCACGGGATGAGGGCATCATTGGCCAGGCAGCATTTATTGCCCATCCCTAATTGCCCAGAAGGCAGTTCAGCATCAATCGCATTGCTGTGGGTTTGGAGTCACATGTTGTCCAGACCAGGTAAGGATGGCAGTTTCCTTCCCTAAAGGACATTCGTGAACGAGATGGGTTTTTCCAACAATTGACAATGGATTCATGGTCCCCATTAGATTCTTAATTCCAGATATTTTATTGAATTGAAATTCCACCATCTGCCATGGCGAGATTCGAACCCGAGTCCCCAGAACACTATCTGGGTCTCTGGATTAATAGCCCAGCAATAATACCACTAGGCCATCGCCTCCCTACAATATGGCAGCATCTGTGGAGAGAAAGCAGTTAATGTTTCAGGTCCAGTGACCCTTCAGATTTCAAAAAGAAGAAGAAAACAAAATATATGACAGTCAGAATGATCTCCAAACAAGCAATGAAACATTACTTCAATCCATATCCTTATACTATCTGTTCCAGAGACTCCGATCCAGAGTAATTGCATCCCATATCTCATTTCTAATAAAATGCAGATTTCTAACCAAACTGACAGGTCTGACAGCCTCCCTGGAGAAAGAAAAACAAAGTTAAGGCTTCAAGTCCAGAATGATTTTTCTTTAGATCATTATTTGATGTATTACCTTCATCCCAGGAATCTGTTACATGAACCTCCTCTGCATTGCTTTCCATGCAATTATATACTTCCTAAAATAATGAGACCAAACCACTGTACACAGTACTCTTAGATGTGATTCCATCATTGTCCTGTATAACTGTAGCAAAACATCCGTACTTCGATAGTCCATTCTTCTTGCCAAAATGACAACTTTCCATTTGCCTCCCTAATCGCTTGCAGTACCTGCATACTGATTTGTTGTGACCTGCAAACCAGGACACACACATACAGCTGGGTTTTGAAATCTCTTCATTTAAACAATGTGCTGTTTTACTATTCTCCCTACTAAATTGGATAACTTCCCATATTCCCACATTACACTCCATTTGCTAAATTTTTGCCCACTCGGTTTACCTATTTGTATCCCTTTGTGATCTGCTTATGTCATTTTTTACAATTTACTCTCCTACCTAACCGTGTGATCGATGAATTTAGGAAGCAAACATTCGGTCCCTTCATCCATATAATTGATTTCAATTCTAAATAAATGAGGTTCCAGCATTGATCCCTGTAGCATATGATTAGTTGCAGCATGGCAACTTGATAATGACCAATTTAGCCTTTCTCTCTGCTTCCGGTTTGCTAGCCAATGTTACCACGTTCATTTGGAAATCCTTGGCCCCACCCCCACCCCCAATACCATGAGATCTTATTTTGTATATTAAGCTTTGTGGCAACTTTGAAATTCCAAGTACACGATACCTACAAATTCTCCTTCAGCTACGTGGTGTGATCATCTGATAGGATTGCCCAAGGCGACAACTTGGGCTGCAAGCTGCTCTAATTTTTAAGAACAGATGTGATGAACTTTGGTGAGAAAATCAATTGAGAGTTTTAAGTAATGAACTACTTATGCTGTTGGTGTATGTTAGGTTTGCCGAAAAAACTAAAACAGCCCGGTGGGTTCCTTTGCATCTACTGATTACAATGCAACTCTCCATTTTCCCCTCAGATCCGTTTTATGCTGGAAACAATGCTGGCATTGAAGAATAATGATATGCGAAAAATTCCAGGCTATGATCCCGAACCTGTAGAAAGGCTTCGAAAACTGCAAAGGAGTCTGGTATGTAGTGATCTATTTAAATATCTGTCTTTATAAAGATATTAAATTTGTGGATATTAAATATATTAAATTTGTGATTTGTACCCAATTAATGTGTGCTACAAGTTTTATCTAACTTTGACTTGCTTATAAAGGTACTGTGAATCATAGACAGTATGCACATGCAACACCTAGAAGTGAATTTCTTCTGACATCATTCAGAGGGATAATATTAGGTTTACAGCACACCAAGAAGGCCAAAGTCACTATTTGAAGCTCCTATTCAAACTCTACTCCCTACTGCCAATTTCTAGTTACACTATCAGGTTGTATCATAATGTTCAGAATATCCGTATCCCGGTGGTCTCTCAGCTGAGCTTCCAACTCAATATCTGCTCCATCACAAAGACAATTCACTTCTATCTGTGTGTCATCACTTACCTTTGCTTTTGCCTCTGCCTCAACAATCTATAATTGTATTCTACTAAAAGCTTCATCCAAGGCTTTGTTACCTCCTGACTCAACTAACTGCTTTTCTTGCCATTTCCCACCAAACATAAACTTATGTTTGTTTTGCTCATGGGACTTGATTATCGCTAGCTACATTAGCTTTGAATGCCTATCCCTAATTGCTTTGGAGAAAGTTATGGTGAGCTGTTACTTTTAGCTGTTGCAGTCCTTGGACTGGAAAGACATCCTGTTGGGAAGACTGTTCCAAGATTTTGGCCTAGCAACAGTGAAGGAACAGAATGGCGATATGATTCCAAGTCTGGATGGTGTGTAGCTTGAAGTGGAACTTATTGGTTATGGTGTTTCTCTGCCTCTGCTACCCTTGTGCCTCCAGCTGGTAGAGTTTGCAGATTTGGAATTGCAAGTGAAGGAGAGTGATGGTAATTTTACTACATTAGACCTTGCAGATCTGTGGTAACCTACAGAAATATCACGATTGACTGGTCTATTGCAGAGTCCTACAGTTGATCTCATCACCTGCCCACGTTCCCTCACCGTGTGTGTCTCTTCCTCCAGCCCGCAGTCCCTGTTACCTTGCCGTGCATGCTATTTCATCATGCTGTTGCATGACTTCCACTTTGGAAGCTACAAGACTAAAGAAAGATATGTGCTTTTAATAGGCTTTGTAAGCTTATTGCATCATATTTGTTTGATCCAGATTAACTATCTCACTAGAGGGTGAATTAAGTTTTCTGGTGACAATGCAAATAAATGAATGTGATATATCCCAGGATCTAATGTGTGAGGGCAGTACGTAATAGTACTAGAAACATAGGGGGCTATTCAGCTCACCATGTCTATGTGGACACTCAACAAGAACCGTCCAGCTAGTCCTTCTCCTCTGCTTGTTCTTTGCCATTGATTTTCATGGGCAGTGGTGAGGTTCTCTTGTTAGAGATGGTCATTGCCTGGCACTTGTGTGATGCAAATGTTACTTGCCACTGATCAGCCCAACCCTGGTTAATGTCCAGGATTTTCTGCATATGAACATAGGCTACTTCTGGATTTGAGGAGTCATGAATGATGCTAGATATTGTGCAGACATCGGCCTGGCTATCTGGACAACTAATCTAGTGATGTTACTACAATGTTACTGCCTCAGTTGGAGTTCATTCAAAACCCTGCTTCTGCTATTCTACTTCTCACCCATCATTCTTGTGAAAAGTGACCTATGTTAGCTCATGTTCACAACTTTTTCATTTTAAAGGTCCTAGCTTTGCATTTAAATCCTTCCTTTCCCCCATACCCCTCCCTTTCTCGCTTTTCACGGTACTATAATCTTCTGAGAACTTCGTATTCCTCCTACTCTTCCTTTGTGCATCCCACTGTTGTGAAAAGTGGGATTGTGAAAAGCCATTGTTAGAAGGATGGCACTGAGGCCAATCTTTGCATTTCTTTATGGAGTTTACCATTGGAGCCATATATTACTCAACTTAATCCCTCCACAGTTTCAATTAGTGTCTCCAAATATATTTTATCTAAAGAAGAAAATGAATTGGGCACACTTTCAAGGCAGGTGGGGCTGAAACCCAGGCCCAAAGGTAGGAACGCTGCCATGGAGCTCTCATCTGAGTCAACAAATTTCAGTCTAATTCACAGCCATTGGACAAAAGCAGCAGAAGTAAATGGATGCTGTTGTCCTCACCAAGCGTTTACCATTGTGTAAAAACAAAGTATTTTAAAGTTGAAAATATCTCTGGAGCTAGTGGGATTTAAACTCTGACCTTCTGGTCCAGAGGTAGGGACACGATCACTGCCCCACAATGCCATGTCCCCTGCATAAAAAGAAACAGCGAATCTGCAGTTAACACCCCAGTATCTTTGCCTGACTATTGGCAGCTGCGGTTTCGCCATCTAGGCCTTAAACTCTGGAATTCCCTCCTTTAAAACACTCTGCCTTTTTGTCATCCTTTTATACCCTCCTTTAAAAGCTAAATCTCTGACAGAGCTTTTAAATGTCCATCTAAAAATTTCGTTCTTTTGCTCTGTCAATTTTAGTCTTAGATTTTCCTGTGTTTATAAGTGCAATGAAAGTTGTTCTTGAACTTTTATCGTAAGTATTTCAGAGTACTAATAATTGAGTCAGCCAATATCTGAAATATATACTTGTCAAGTTAAAAATAAATTAGCTATAGCCGAATAAGAAACTGGCTAACATGTTAAACGTGCAAAATATAGACCAGTCTGGACTTGAAAAACATGAAGATTGAAATCATATATTTTATGTGAACAACAGTTGTTTTCCATGAACAGGGAATTTCACCAATTGTAAATCGAATGGGCACACTGCACAGCATTTGAAGGAAGAATGTTTTCAGGAGCAGGTATTTCAGAGGAATGTTGTTGTACACGGCTAATAGTAGAGGTTTGGTTACCATCAGCAGTCAGGGCAGGGTTGATACGTTAGGTTAGAAAGGTTGATGTGGAATTTGTTTTTTTTTAATTTGGGTATATATAGTTTACTGTCTGAGACGTGAACAAAATGTTTGACAGAGTCAGATGGGGTTGGAGCTTCAACCGAATATCCCGCTTGTCTTTCTGAATTTGGAGATGTCTTTTTATTCAGGCAGCTGACCACCTCTGAGAAATTGTCAGGCGCTGTAGATCCACTAGGTGGCAATATGTGGATGGTTAGGATAATTCATGAAAAGTGGCTTGCAGTACGAACTGGTATCTTTGCATCAAACATTGGGCTCTTGTTGGTCCCTACCTCTGAGCCAGGAGCTCTAGGTTGAAGTCTCACCTGCTCCTTTCACCAAACACAGACAGATTTAAAATGGAAATTCTTCATTAGCATTTGAGCATACCAGTCAAGTCAGTTAGCTCAGTTAGTTGGATGGATGGTTTGTGATGCAGAATGACACCAATGGCATAGGTTCAATTCCAGCGATAGCTGAGGTTACCGTGAAGGCTCTCCTTCTCAACCTGTGCCCTCGCCTGAGGCATGGTGACCTTCAAGTTGTGATGAGAGAATAGACTTGTGGTCCAGGAGGACTAGTCAACTTTACCTTTTAAGTAAAATAAATGATATCAGACTTGCAGCACTTCTCCCATGAACTTTGATGTTTATATTTTAGAACATAGAACTGTACAGCACAGAAACTGGACCTTTGGCCCAAAATGTTGTGCTAAACGTGACACTAAATTAAACTAATCTCTTCTGCCTGCCCTTGGTCCATGTCCCTCTATTCCTTGTATATTCATTTGCTTATCTTAAAAATCTCTTAAACGACCCCATCGTATCTGCCTCCACCACCAGCACCAGCACCCCCACTGGCAGTGCATTCCACACTCCTACCACTTCCTGTGTAAAAAAAAAACTTGCCCCTCGCGTCTCCTTTGAGCTTTCCCCCTTTCACCTTAAATGCATGCCCTCTAGTTTTAGACCGTCAACCCTATCTATGCATCTCATAATTTTATAGACTTCTATCAAGTCTCCCCTCAGCCTCTACTGCTCCAGAGAAAACAACCTGAGTTTTTCTAGCCTCCTTACAGTTCGTACCCTCTAATTCAGGCAGCATCCTGGTAAACCTCTTCTGCATCCTCTCCAAAGCCACTACCTTCTTCCTGTAATGTGGCAACATGAATTGAACGCAATACTCCTTAAGTGTGTCTAACCAAAGTCTTATAAAGCTGCAACATGACATCCTGACTCTTGTACTCAATTCCCAGACTAATAAAGGCAAGCATGCCATCCACCACCTTTTCATCCAACTCATTTATATATATCACAAACAGCAGAGGTCCCAGTACGGATCCCTGCTGAACACGATTAGTCACAGACCTCCAGACTGAAAAACACCCTTCCACCACTACCCTCCGCCTTGTACAGACAAGCCAATTTTGAATCCACATGGCCAAGTCACCATGGATCCCGTGCACCTTAATCTTCTGGATGAGCCTTCCACAAGGGACCTTGTCAAAAGCCTTACTAAAATCCATGTAGCCAACATCCAGTACTGTATTCTCACCGATCACCTTTGTCACCACCTTGAACATAGCAAGTAAAACAGTACAGCTTAGTACAGGCCCTTCGGACCACGATGTTGTGCCAACTTTTTATCTTAACTTAAACTAACCTTCATATCCTTCATTTTATTATCGTCCAAGAGTTGCTTAAATGTCCCTAATGTACCTGACTCCACTACCACCGCAGGCCGTGCATTCCACACCCACGACTCTGTGTAAAAAAACCTACCTCTGACATCTCTCCTATACCTTCCTCCAATCACCTTAATATTATTCCCCCTTGTAATAGTCATTTCCGCCCTGGGAAAAAGTCTCTGGCTATCCACTCTATGTATGCCTGTCATCACCTTGTACACCTCTATCAAGTCACCTCTCATCCTTCTTCACTCCAATGAGAGAAGCCCTAGCTCCCTCCACCTTTCCTCGTAGGACCTGCCCTTCAGTCCAGGCAGCATCCTGGTAAATCTCCTCTGCACCCTCTCTAAAGCTTCCACATCCTTCATATAATGAGGCAACCAGAACTGAACACACTATTCCAAGTG